CCCAGGCCAGGGCCTCCCGGCCGCGCCCGGCACGCGCCACCACGCGGAGACGCAGACGCCGCTGCCGCCCCCGCCCCCGCACCCGCTGCGCCACAAGGAGAGCGCCGTCTAGCGCCGGCTGCGCGGGGGAGGGGCGCCGCCGCCACCGCACGGGACCATCCCACGCAGGGGAGGTGAACGCGCTGCCCTTCTTCCCTTCAAAACGGCGGTTTAGATGATCATTTGAAGGTTTGAGATATGTATGCTAGCGGCAAACGTTCTGCATTACATAACCACAGGGTGACGGAGATCTTCTCCCAATGGATGGTGAGATCCGGCATCGATTGATTGATTTATTAGAGATTTCGGGCGCATCAACTGCTAAGTCATTAGTCCAATAAATGTAGTGCATGTTTGCCCTCGGGAGATGGCGGTAATCTTCCCCCACTGAATGGTGATATCCAGAAACGACCTACCGTCAGCTAACAGGGTTTCCCTCAACTGAATATATCCCACGAACGGGGCACCACCTCAGCCGGGACATGCTGCAGCTGATAGAAAAAAAAACTTTACGCAGTATCAAGCCAAACCCTGACTGATTCAGAACTTTGAGCCGTATCGAGATAAGGTTCACAATCCACTGCAATCCTCTCGTTATACTTTTTATTGTGGGTGAAAGAGTGGCTTAATATTAATGGTGTGTGGTAGTAACAAGATGAGCTACACTTCGGTCAAAATCGAGGTATTAATTTTTATTGAACAGCGGAACGCTTGCTGAGACTGATGAGGCTCCTTTTGGAACTGCCCTAAGCCGTTCATTTAATTTTGCCATTTAGTTTCAAAAAAATTATGTGTGACGAGAAAAGAAGATAATTTATTCGTGATAGAAAAGACCTAACATATGCAGTTCAAGACATTTAAAACATTGACTGCAAACTCATTTTATTATACCAAAAGACCTGAAAACATAATTCGTTTTAAGCTAACACTGAGCAAATACCGAATTTTGCCAAAATTGGTATCCCAATGCAGTAAAGTGTAAATCGGTTTAAATCGTATTTGTTGAATTAAATATTTATTCGTAATAACCTTCAAATGTTCATCTAAATGGACCATTTTTATGTTTCTATTTTTTGGAAACAAGAAAAGATTAAAATTTATTCGGAATAATGCAGTCATTTTTTTCAATTTTGTGAATGTTCTATACGATTGTAGAAATAAACGACATTAAATCGACATTAATTATACAATTATAAAATATATCCCAATATAAGACAAAATTCGTCTTGAATGTAAACTACGTTTTTTTCGGTTAATGACGACCTTAATACTATAACAAAGAAGTAGACTACGTTTCTCTATTTAGTAGCATTTTTTCAGCAAGCCCACGATGGTAATAAATGAAATGATTTTTATTTCTGACATTCTGTGTTTTCAGATTACCTGAAAATATAATATCAGCATGATATCCAGAGAAACATTACTTCACAAGCCCTAACTAGATCATTGAAGGAATGAGAAAAATGACATATTTTAATGGAATGTTGGTTTCTTGGACGAGTCTCACATAAAGCAAATGCAGGAAATAGCACCTGTACGCGGTGGCTTGTGGGAGGTACGTATGAAAGAACAAGTAGTACAATTAAAAAGAAAAGAAAATGAAATTACACGAAAACATGTGAGGATGAAGTAATATATGCCTTTATTGTAGGTTCTGTTGAAAGAAAATTTTGATGGAAGCATTACAAAGAAAATATTAAGTGTTATGTGTTACCTTCCATTTTGCTTCATCTATGTATTTTCGTAATCTGAATCAGCATTATGTGATATGAAAACAGAGGTAAGGACTATTCATACATTTTAAAAATAATATTAACTGCATGCTAATACGTTTTAATAACATACTAATTGAACTCATATTTTGCAGCTTTATAGAATGTGTGAACAGCAAAGGAGATGATGTTCATAACATTCCTAACGTTTGTGAGACCACTTTCAAACACGAAGAGAAAAGGGTTTGTGAAATACTCTGGAGGAAATAAAACTTTCATTTCACTCTCTTGAACACATGCTGATCGCACGTGAAGGTTTCATCTCCGTTTCATAATGTGCCTCATCTGTGAATTAAACTTTCCAAGTTACTGTGTAACTGTTAATTTAAAACATGAATAAAGAGTTGTTTGTATTTTTACATTAATTAGGGGTCTCTCATTTCTATCTCTGTTCCTTTGTTATAAATGTTTTGAAAATGTTTATTCAAATACCAAGTGTTGTAGTAATTGATCAAGCGTAAAATATAAATTGCAATACTGCTTAAAAATAATTGTTCTAACTTACGTGGTAATTGCCAGTTAAAAAATCAAAAGGTTCAAGTACAATATGCAGTGGAAATTTTCAAGAAATATTTAAATAAAGAAGATATACTGTTTTATCGAGTTCAAGAACGCATTACTATTCATCATTCATAATTCGCGCCAAGAGCTACTAAGAAATATGCAAAGAATACAACCCAGTGAAACTAATTTCTTACCTAAGAACTATTACATTTATTTTGTGATATTTAGGCCTAAATACTCACACCTATAATGAAATAAATAGAAATGACCGAAAAATAAAAATAAAAACTATAATCCTATTCACTTTCAAGGAAAAGATCAAAATTTTTGCCAAGAACTACTTTTTTTCGCGTAATGGCACGTACCAATATTGTAGACCATTCAGTGTCAATTCAAAAGCATTCGTGAATGGTGTCACATGTGTTTTCGGGTGATTAGTTAAAAATTCACGTAACTCTTGACATACAAACATTTTGATATTTGATCGGGATACAGTATGAACGAATATTGCTCTGCTACCAAAGACCTGTGTTGTTTGAAGGAGGGGCTGTTCCTGCCTTTGGAAGAAACGTGCCGCAAACAAGAAGGGTATTCTGAAGTAGTGAAACAGGTAAGAACTTTGTTTATTTCAAACAAGTCTGGTTTAGTATTTAAAATGGCGTTGTAACTGTGGTTCCAAAATTAATACCATAATGTTTTCAATTTTGTGACACAAAATATATCAATATTTTCCAAAACATTACGCACTGGAAAGTTTCGGTAAAAGTAGGGTACACTGTACACCCTCAGAGAAGAGTGGTGGCGTCCTTAAGCCCTAATTACTCTATGTGCTGTGACTGAAATGAATAAAAATTACGGTAAGACGATTTTAATGATTCGCCCTTCATATCCTTTGTCCCCGCCGCATTGTAACGCCAACTTACTTTTAAAGGCAAGTTTTCTCGCTTCGCTCGCCCGGATCCAAATCACGGCGAGGCTCGGGCCTTCGGGCCTCGCGTACACTATACATATCCTTGAGTCTATCCACCGCATAATTACTAAAAACCACTTTTCAAGAAAGCCTTGAGAATTGAAACTACGCAGTTACCGCCGGAGCGGCGCGAAATGCCGGTTTAAAGGACTTCCCGTATGTTGTACCGAATACTAGACTTCAGCAAGTGAATCAAACATAAATAACTTCATATTCACATCAATTTATATATGCTCAATTATCATAATAAATGTTTCATTAACTCGTATTTCGATAATCGAATTTATTTTGTGTGAAGCATGCTGGCCAATCTTGAAAATCTCTCCCGCGAAACAGTGCTAAGGAAACGACCAAGGCTGAAATCTGATTGACCTAACCTCAACGATTAAAGGGGTGAAGTGTGCATTGAACGAAGGAAAGTTGACTGGAGATCTTCTTACCTAAAGTCAACGTCAACATTTCTGATCAAATGATGCCTGTAGTATTCAATTTTCGAGAACACATTGAGCACCTAAGACGTAAATGACGGTAATTTCACTGTAACTAATTTGAAGTTAATAAGAAAAAAAATCGCTTGTACCAATAAAAGAATTAATGTGATCATAATATTCACTTTCAGAATTTATTGATAGTTAAATATCCAACATGTTAGAAATACCATATTTTTCATGAAAAATTTAGAACACAATACTGCAGTAAGTGTACTCATTAAAAAAGAAGTAATTATTGTTCACATCTCAAAAGTTAATTTTTTAAATATAGATTTATAACATACATGTGTTAACTAATCTTTCTTGTGTATTAAAATAGTACTTTCATTACCAAGATTTAATCCTAAAGGTAAACCCAATTTTTGTTGATGAATGAGATCAAACACATTTCTTTCTTCAAAGTCAACAAAAATAATTGTAAACTTGTAACAATTCTCGAGGATAATGTGTAAATACAGATACATTGAAAAAAGTTGTTCTTAAAACGATATACCACATGCCCAACAATAGTTCGAGGAAATATGAGCTTTATGCTCTCGATATTTAAACTTAATTTTTATATTGCACTGCGAGAATTAAAATTGTATTATGTTGGAATTAGATTACACAGAAGAAAAACAAAAGTTTCATAAAACATTTTAACCAAATGAATACCAGCAAATATTTCTAATATTAATAGTTATTAACATTAATAACACAGGCTGCCTGCATTTCATCAATTGATATTCACCTTGTTTCTGTGCAAGCATATTCTGCAATAATCCAAATGATAATATTCTGGTCACCCTTATCATTTGTCATAATAAAGTGACAACTTCGTTAGTGGTGAATAATTTTCGTCATCAGTGAGACACGGCGTCTCCTTCGTTCGGGTGGAGCCAAGGGCGCGGTCTATATTTGACCTCGCAGAGCCGCGGCCTCCGTACTTCATACACCCCTCCTAATCGTAACAGCGGCCTCCGGAACTTAATATTTCAGCGGTTGCTCAAGTCGAATAAAAATTCAAACTTTTACTGGACTCCACTTCATTTATACGCACGTGAATTCCCCCCAGCGTTTTATTTGTTGACTGATTATTTTGTTATCGGCCGCGTCAGAGGCTATGTTCAAGTTTAGCGCACATTACATCCAATGAGGCAGTGGTGGTGGTCCTTCCGCGCGCGTCTTCTCTCCCGACATGTGTGGTGCATGCAAGTGTAAGTGTGAGGATAAAGGAAGGAAAAAGGATAAGAAAGGAGAGATCACGTGCATCCCGTAGTTCGTACGTTAAAATACGCTACGGAAATAGCATGGTACTGATAGTAAAAAGCACATACCACTCCCCATCAGAACAGCCGGCGGTCATAAATACCCTACAGAAAGCGACTGAGTTCGATCTAGCTACCTGGCTAGTATTGACTATCTCCACCATAAGAACTCGAACCCGAACAGACTAGCGTTCGACACAGTGAATATTGCGAAATTAAAACACATAATCTCAACTGTCCGGGAGATGCGGCGTTCTAGGCACATTTGCGACCTCGAATTTCGCCCTGAGGAAGGTTATCATGGCTGCCGAAACGTTGGCAACAGTGCCTAGGACGCGGCGTCTCCGGACAGCCAAGAAACTATGGAGTCCAGCTACGGAAGCGTAGACTTACAAAGTATTCCCAACCAAGAAGAAGGGAACCTAATCTGCTAACGCTGAGTAGAGGGGGAAGGGCGCGGGGGTGGGGGTGGGGGGCGCCGTGCGCGAGAGGTAGAGCAGAAGCAGCGCCCGGCGCCTCGCCGAGCAGACAGGGCGCGTCATGGCGGGAGCGCCGCCGCAAGGCTCCGAGATCCCTCCAGCAGCAGCAGCGGCGGCGGCGGCGGCGGCGGCGTCTAACGAAGCGATAAGTGGCGTAACGAAGCGATAATTACACTAATTGCGTAAGCTGTGTAACTCGATGCACACCATTAGAACGACCTTGAATTTTCCCTCGGCGCTCTGCCGGGAAACGAAGCAGAATATATGTTGCGTTAACTACTTTCCAGAAGTTGGAGGACTTTTGGATTGTTTCCACGCTCAGGAAATGTCTCGTGCACCCGAGAAGCCCCCTGAACTGCGCTTTGCTTCAAACTTGCCCGACTCCCTAAGCACATCCCTCTTAGCGAGATCTTAGAAGGTATGAATATGCAACTTCTCGTCGTCTTCACATTTGACGTTTCGAGCGTTGTAGATTCCATTAAATGATAATATAGAAGACTGCTAAATTCTAGGCGCTATGAGTAATTACTAATTAAAGCATTTCTACGGTGTGTACAGAGATGTAATTTTGTTCAAACATTGCTTTTCGGTAGAGCGGTAGACGTTATATTCTGTGAATTAAAGTTAGAACATGCAACGGTTTTGTACGTGTCATCAGAAAACCGTGTTCTACTCTCCCTGCAAGACATAAGTTACTATACATTAGGAAAAAATTGGTCTTCATGTTTAGTTCAACTAGTGAATATGGTGAGATCATGAGAAAAGAGGCTAGTAACCTAGAGAGCCTCCTACGTATTGAGATATTTACGTATAGATTGGTAATAAATCAAACAATTGTATGAACAAAGTTGAGGGTTTGGTTGTAAGTATTAACAATCATTCATGGTGATTCTACATTTAAAGTACATAAGCACATATTTTATACTTCGTGTTCTGATAATCCATCACAACTGCTAGCAACTTTGAATAACTACATGGTATACATATTTTTAATTTGGGAGAGGTCGTGTCTTGCCTAAGAATGTTACTGATCTTCAGGGAGAAATGAACCCCAGAAAAATGTTCAATATATAAGTCTTCTACACCCATGAATTTATATTATTTTGTTTTTTATGACTTTTACATATATAACTTCGTTTATGGAGAGTTTTTTTATTTCAAATTTGTAATATATTTTTTAAATAAGGAAAATTAGTTGGCACATGAAATAATTTTTTCTATCACTTAATACAAAATAAATGCATAAAAATTAATGCACCGTAAATTTGAAAAATTGAGAATTAACTGTAATGTTCAGTAATGAATTTTTACCCAATCTTTGTAAACAAACAATGAATTTAATTTGCTTACGATTGTTTTCTTAAGTTTTTTCGCACTCACGGGACGCTTTGCAGTATAAATTTCTTGTCTAAAAATCTAAAAATCTTGTCTAGCTTGTTTTCTATTTTGAAGTTGCTTCTAGTGTTTGTTCTGAATGAAAATACTGTGATAAAAATATCACAGACACCAACTCTTCAGACATCAACTCTTGTGGAAATTCTGTTAGTATTGATCTCCAAGTCGACCAGTACGATAGGTGAATTGGAACGGGTAAATATACAATTTCAGAAATAAACAGTTTTGTCTACAATCCTCTTTTCAGATGATTTCGAAAATTATCAGTTCTCCATTATCTTCCTGAGTGCTGAAGACTCCAAGATTATGTTTTTAAGGCACCTACTTGAGTGGTCACAGAAAATCGAGGTTATCGCAAGGGCTACATGGGCGACGGGCCGGTCGTCTCTACTTGTCAACGCAGGTCTAAGGCTCGCGGGGGCTTTCGACCCCACACCCATCCCCGAGATAGAAATAATTGCTGCAAATTGACAGTATATAACCAAAGACAAATAATAAATTTTGCTCGTAATATACTAGAGAAAAGGTTACTGAACAACACAAGAATATACAATGGCCATCAATGAAGAATTTCTTCGGTGCAAAAAACGTTCTGAAACAAAACTATTTATGAAATAATAAGGCCTGGGGTCCAATTCCTCCCATGCAACCCTTCTCAAGTTAATAGAGCATACAGAGAATTGTACGTTAAAATAAAAGACCTGAAGAAGGTTCAATAAGTGCACCGAAACGTTGCTTTTTTTCTTCCAAAATTGTTTCATTCACCGCAGACCCTAACTCAAAGAAAACCATTTCAGTACACAGGATATTTTTAATTTTCCTTACGTGTTGGTCCCGCTCAATTGCAAGGTCCGCAAAGTCTCCCTGCCGATGCTCTCTGTATGCCATTTAAAGTGTGGATTTGAACAAAAATCCCTTCCCCAAGGCGTCTCAGTTCGAATTTTAAAAGACTATGATGGTATAATAATAATAATAATAATAATAATAATAATAATAATAATAATAATAATAATAATAATATTGCTGTAAAGATGCTACTGGGCAATTCCCTGAGGGATCAAGAGAACCAATTATCAGAGACGATGGCTACGTCCGTAATAGTGTCATGGAGTTCAAAAGGTATTAATCTTAGGGAACGTTATATCTGGTGATGTTTACTTTATTAAACTATTGTAATTAATTATTCACTTATTAGTGACTTATGTAGGCGAATTTAAAAACAGATATTCGTATTAATCGCTCGAAAACTAGAAACATTTATCCGAATAAAGTATCCTCCGTGTCATTTTTATTGTATTTTTATAGGTCTTTTACCCAGCCGACAGCCGGTTACTCTTTACATCCCGATGGGACGCATATTTCACTATACACTAGACACCAACACTCGTGCGGACTCCTCTGGCCTAGGGTCAGCGAAAACGAGGTCCTCCGCGAAAACACATGAGAGACAAGGGACAAAACTATTCTAAAGAAGGGTCTTGAACCCGCGACCCTTCCGACTGAAGTACTCAGTGGGTTCACGTTCTTGGCTACCTCGGCCATCCAGGTCGGCTTAACTACATTTACGCTCTGAATTAATTTCAGATTACTAGTTATTGAGCACTATTAAATTATCACGTGTACAGCTTAAGTGTAGTTTCTATTTTTTGAATACTACGGAGAGATTTAGAAAACATCAAGTACCACGGTACGGGACGTGCTCATGAAATTGTACTTTGGCCGACAGTAAATGTGCGATGGCACGCCTGTTTGATTTTTCCGACACAGTTTCCCCCTTTTTAGAGAACTCGCGCAGAAAATAAGCAATTAGTGGGCTCAGGTGAACGCGTTCGGCGAACGCTCCAGCGCACTCGCGAATTACCTTGCCTGCACGTTTCGCTTGTGCGTGTGGATGCACGCGTAAGCACAAAATAATATGCCAAATGTTAACTCCGCGGAAAAGATATCAGAAGTTAGTAAATAGAATGGACAAAGTACATGCTATGGCAATTGAGTAAAGCTTAATGAAACTAGTGGTGCTACAACAGCACATAATCTTTCGCAGTTCTGGGAACGTTTACGTAGTATTATAATATTGCTTTTTCTCTCCTACTTTAGGACTCACATAAAAAAGTCCAAAGTAATTCAAAAGAAGCATCTGCTGTGTATATCTGCTATTATGTCGATAGCCAGGAATATGAGTAATTTCATACTTCTAGGAAACAAACATGAACAAATCAACTGTAACAATATGTTATAGCTGGAGTGCAATATAAAACTTTGTACGACATTAATTCTTGTAAACCATATATATCATCAGAAATTCGAAATTTCAACATCATCTCACTGTGTACGATGTGCGAAATATATTTCCAATATATACGTAACTACGATGTCATTACATAATGTTCACCTTAAAAATAATAGCATATTCCGTACATTTTTATACTGCATACAAAATCTTTCCGACCATAAAGTAGATAATTTTATTGAACGTAGAGGCATTGCTACATTAAGATTAAAAAGATAAAGCCACTTTATCGTTTCTTCCATATCAACTAACAATTAGAAGAATTCTAAGAATTTCAAACTATAGTACCGCGGCGAGGCGTTACAATTGTATTGCAAACTAACAGCTCGTCATACGAAGCGCAGAAAATACGAATTTGCAAAAAATATTTTTGAAAACTACTCGTATTTCTTTAATCCTTCATTACTCGCGAAGAGTGTACAATATTATGCTTCACCCTTTTTTGTAACGGATAGAACTGCGCATGATTCCTACACAGTTAAGATCTAAGATCTCGAGCACTTTCACCTTTAGGAAAGGGTCCTCAACAAAAAAAAATATTACCCCTTTACCAAAAAAGGGCAAAGGATGTTGCAAAATGTTTGACAGAGCCAATAATAAAGCCACGCGTCGAACGAGTGCAAAATGCAATTAATGGGTATGTGATGACTCAACAACGTGGATTGTGTGTAGCTATTGTAAATAATTTATTATTGTATATATTTCATTGTGATTACCTTAAAAGTTATACTCATATGCATTGATAATGAAGTCAATTTTCGTCAATATTAGAGTAGTGTTCATGCTTACTGTTATGTAAAACAATGTTTCAAAAAATGAGTATTGGGTATATTATTTTGACATTAAATCATCATTTAATAACGAAATACAAACATTTAGAATTATTAGACATTAACTAAATTATACACAATATATCATTTCGTACAGACAAAAGGTTGGAGCACATTTGTACTCCGCACAAGTATCTGTGGGCTTTAAATCTCGCGGGCAGCGAAGGGATAAACAAAAAATCTGAGTGCAATAGTAATGCTTTTCAATTTTTGAGAATATAGTGCTTGTCAAAAATAGGGCTAACGCTTTCTTTACCATTCTTTGCTACATACGAGGAAAATAAAAATTTGGAGCATTTTTTGAGAAAGTAATTGTTTAAAATTGTCTGTTGTGCGCAATTTTTTTCGAAAATTATTCATATTTTTGAAACATTTTACTTCAGCTTCTTTGAAAAATTGTTTTTGATCAACAGATTTCATTAAGGAAAAAATATTTATCTTCAATATTGTAGTTGTAGGAAGAGGCCACAACAATTTTAAACTCTTGCAAATTTTCGAAATTTCAAGAGAGTTAATTAAAATGCATTCTACACCATTTCTTTAAGGGTGATCAGATGGAAAAAAAATAGCAAAAAATGGATCCACTTTTCTAAAAAAATGGATTCATCTTTTTAGAAAAATTGGTAAATGCTGTTAAGACAATCGTCAGATATCCCCAAAAATGAAAATATTCATTTAAAATTCAAGAGACGACATCAAGCAGATCGATTAAGGAGTAATTAATTTTGGTGAAAATCTTACCTACTGACTGACTGCCAGACGCTTTGCCGTAAACTAATTATTCACTATCAAGAACTCAAGAAAATTTACTAAATCTGGGAACAAGATTTTTCCATTTTTTCGGTTTCAGGTTTCCACTATTGAGGCTGTCGGGAAACGGTCTTTTTTTTACTTTGTAAA